CTTCGCTCCACATATACTGGAAAACCATGCGTTGCTCATCGTGAAGATTTAGGCATCGATGTTGCTTGCAGACATATACATTTAACGGCAGACATTGAAACATTCCTTAGGACAGTGTACACATTGTTCAGTCGGTACGGAAAGTAGTCCTGTTTACTTTTACGATTTTGGCGTACAATGTACAATTTTGAGGTGTATACATTATATATACTGTATGTTTATTTTTTAATATTTAGATAATGCATTTAACGATTTTGTGATTTCGAACTAGCTAAGGTGTTGGAATGTGATTCTGCAGCCCTTGGTTTAGATCATTGAATAAAATCAGATGACTTTCACGGCACTTTGCGATACGAGCATTGCTGAGAAACATGCAAGTGTTGACTGTAGACTGTGAGGAGACTGTGAGACCTGTATAATGATCCAGTTCATAATTACTGTTTGAAGAAACGAAGGGATCCGCAGTCTCGATTTTGAAGTTGTTGGTGAACTTGCTGATTTATGTAAGCTTAAGAAAAAAATCTCAAGACAATAGAGGCATACCAGTTTATAAAAGCATGGATCTCTAAGCTCCATGCCCAGTACCTTGGTTAAAATGTGCACTGGTCCGAAGAGGTTGCTGAATTGCCAAATAATGACGAGGATATAAACACGAGTTCTATGCTAAAATTCGTTGAATGTTTATGTTTGCACCTGTACTCTCGTTTCCCTTGAAGTGAGTTGACGCAATAGCAAAGTTTTTAGATATCAGCGTTGATCGAAGTTTGGGCCAAGAAGAACTTGCAGTACTGGTTTCTAGATATGCGGCATTCCTGGAAAACTATGATGAGAGTCTACCGAAAGTTAAGGATCAGTATCGTAAGTTAAGGTTTGTGCTTGCAGAAAAAAAGAAATGTGGGTTGATGGAGACTTTCCACGAGATGGTTCGATTTGTAATAAATGAGGAGCAATTCGACAACATTGCCATTCTGTTGGATGTTTGTGCTACGTTTCTTTCATCGAGCGCCGATTGTGAGCGTGGCTTTAGCCTAACGAGTAATATAAAAATACATTCTAGAAATAACCAGGAAGAGTTACATTTAGACATGCTAATGAGGATTAAATCATATCAGAATGATGGACATCAGATCAGCCTTGAAGATGTGTGTAACAGTTAGATAACATTGAAAGACAGACGCCAGAGTACCTCCAGAAATGAGTCCATCAAATGACTAGCGGCCATTGGTGGTGGGTGTGTTGGAATTTAGTTGCTTGACCCAACAACGGGATAACTAACAAAAATAAATACAGCTTTGATTAAACTATTTTGACATTTCTGATAATATTTTTTAGATTATTTTTCCTTTATTTATTTATATAAAAGTTTTTGCACTTTAGATCATTTATTATTTTCAGTGTGTGTGTGTGTGTTTGTGGGTTGTACAATTTTGCACACAAACAATTGATGATGTAAAACTTTGCACACAACCCTATGATTTTGCACACGAACCAGCAAACCTTAGAGGGGACATTGGTTGTGACCACTCATAATTGTCTCCTCAAATAGCCACGGAAGATTGTGACCATTCATACTTCTATCCTTAAATCGCAACACTCTAGTGTGACCAGACATACTCCTGTCCTTAAATAACCACATATTATTGTGACCAGCGCGAGGCAGACTTCTGTTTGTAACCATCATATTTTCATCATTTAACATTAAAAAATGGTGGGTCAGAATGTTCTTGTTTTTCAAATAAAAAGAAAAAAAATGGATTGGGCGTGTAACCATAGTAACGCGTTTATTATTTTAGTCTAGGCCTTAGTGTTGAGATGACGTGCTGAGCATGTTAACAGCAGTCCCTGCTGCCATACAAAGGGAGTAGGTGGATCCACTTCGCTCATCCGAAATGTCTTCTTTCGACATTCTTTGGAAGCTGTTATTGGGGATTTATTTTTGGACAGGTAAATCACGATGTTTTCATTAGAGCGAAATAGTTCGCTTTTGAGATGTAAATTGAATAGGTCAGACTAGAAATGGGTTGCCCAGCAACTGAAGGACAAATCGTCATCAATTTGACAGAATTTAAACAATGAATTCAATAAAGATTTTTTAACAGAAATCTTTAACGAGACTAAAATAACATCACAACTAAAATTGTGTGCGAAAGATAACTTTAAAATCCGCTGAATAAAGCCTACGTTATTAAATTTTAGAATTGTACAATTATTTGACATCTTTTAGAGTTCCACTCAGTTATCAAATATTATATTCAGGGGAAGTCAAATATTGTATTCAGGGGAAGAATGACATTGTAATATTTACTTCACGATATGTTCTTTCATAATCTTCTTGGTTTTTTTTATTTACGACATGATCTTTCATGGCCTTCTTGATTTTATTTTACATAATCTTTCATGGTCTTCTTGATTTTTATTTTACATCACACTTCATTGGATGTGTACCACGATCTGTTACAGCCTTCTTGATTTTATTTCGCATGATCTTTCATAGTCTTCTTGATATTTTACGAAATGATCTTCCATATCAATAATGGCTTCTTTGCTGTGATAAATTGGGTTTAATAAAGGTATTTGGCGTCCTTGATTTTATAATTTAACAAATTTGCTTCTCAATTTTAACGTAAACCCGTCCCCCTTGACCTCTGAACTCTAGATGTGCATGCTGGCGGGGCCGCGGACATAAACAGACTCCACACCAAACTATTTCACGGGGACTACAACAGGATGGTGCGTCCGAGCCTGGACTACAGTCGGCCCACCAACGTGCTGACCCATCTTTCAGTGACCGCTGTCCAGAGTCTGGTGAGTGGAGTTCTAGACCAGCAAGCAGACTTTGTATCAGGAAATATTTTACTATAACGTTAAACTAAAGCCAATCTGACATCTACGTGACCGATGATTACCTCTCCTTCCATTGCTCCTTGGTCCTGCGTCTGGAGACAACTATTTGATTACCGTGATAACTAGCCGCCCCTTATTGTGAATGTCCCTTGATTCCTACTCCTTATGACTCATTTTCTTCAACTATGACACCCTACCTTGACAACGCTGATTATCTTCCCCTGACTATGTTGTTACCTTTCCTAGATTATAATTATTACTTTCCCTGACCATGATGACTATATGCCTTTCAATATGACGATTAACTCCCCTTCTTCTGAGAAGTTTTATTTCTCACTTTAACCAGCGAGACACACTATTTGATAACAACATAGTTATCTCTGGATCTGTATGGACAGGAATTCTAGTAAAGGCAGTGAGTGGGGCTTCAGCCTCTACATACAAACTATGTCAAATATGTTTCACATACTTCATAATGTATCTAGGTTTCGTTAGTCTGTTAAATACCAACTTCATATATTTATCTAGGTTATGTTACACTGTTAAATACCAAATTCATATATTTATCTAAGTTATGTTAGACTGTTAAATACAAATTTCATATATTTACTGTTAAAACCCTAGTGAATTGTTAGTGTTACTGTCAATGATTTAAGACGCATCAATTTTATCCCTTGCTAACAGGACATTAAACATCAAGTCCTATATTTTAGAGGCGTTCTTCACTTTGTGAGTATCGTGACTATCGGGTATATCTTTCACTTTTGAGTATCATGACCATTTATGTGTATATTCACTTTGTTACTATCATGACCATCAATGTGCATATTCACTTTGTGATTATCATGACCATCGATGTTCATATTTCCTTTGTAGTATCATGACCATTAATGTGCATATTCAATTCGTGAGTGTCATGACCATTAATTTGCATATTCACCTTGTGAGTATCATGACCATCAATTTTCATATTCACCTTGTGAGTATCATGACCATCAATGTGCTCAACTAGTATTAAAGTCATAGTTTTGTTTGTAGTTAGTGTGGTTGTTGCTAGAGGTTGGGTGATGGAAGTGTTGGATGATGGATGTGTTGGGTGATGGATGTGTTGGGTGATGGATGTGTTGGGTGATGGATGTGTTGGGTGATGGATGTGTTGGGTGATGGATGTGTTGGGTGATGGATGTGTTGGGTGATGGATGTGTTGGGTGATGGATGTGTTGGGTGATGGTGGATGTGTTGGGTGATGGATGTGTTGGGTGATGGATGTGTTGGGTGATGGATGTGTTGGGTGATGGTGGATGTGTTGGTCGATGGATGTGTTGGGTGATGGATGTGTTGGGTGATGGATGTGTTGAATGATGGTGGATATGTTGGGTAATGGATGTTTTTGGTAATGGGTTAATTAAGATGTCGATGTGTACAACTTTCTTGAGTAAGAATGCTCTTTATACTTACTAAAATACTTTTCTGTCTCAAACAGGCTTGGACTGATGAGCTACTGAGTTGGGAGCCCCGTGAATATGGAAATATTAGCAAGATTGTTATGCCCCAAAGTATGATCTGGAGACCGGATATTGTCATCACCAATGCGTGAGTAACCATTTAATACAGCTGATATCATATCATGGTTATCTGTGGAGCTCATACAGAGTTCTTTTCTATGTGCCTGTCATCAAACTTTTATAAGCTAATAGTGGATTTTATTCATTGTTTGTCCTTCGCGTGTGAAATTGACCAGGGCTTCGATTTGAGCAGTAGCGTTGACTTGAGCTGTATTTTGTTCATTATTGAGAAAACCAACTAAAAAGATCACGTTAATTGTGAAACCAACAACAAAGCAACAACAAAGACCACGTTAATTGTGAAAGCCAACAGCAAAGATCACGTTAATTGTAACAATGGACGCCAATAACAAATGTTGCTTCATATAAAAGGATGCATGCAGCACTGAAAGCTTTGTTAACGTGTTAAAGATTTGACTAGTTGTAATGTTGTCTCCATTAGAACCTCATTATTCGGGTTTAATTCCATCGTTTGCACTTGGCGTTAAAGAAGTGAGCTTTTGTGTTATGGCTTCGGCACTCGTCCTCTAAAGATGTGTGACTTAACTGCTTCTAATTGATTCACCCACAATGTCCAGGCTGACCGACCACATGTATCTCTGGGAAGACGGCGCATCCCTTGTAGCAGTGCAACACGACGGTTATGTCAGGTGGGAACCCATCATCAACTTGGGCGTGTCTTGTAAGGTAACACGTTGTCAAATGAAATGTGCGACCTCCTTGCACCTGCCAGTTAATTAATCATACACAGAACATCCGCAATAGCGAACGAACAATATCAAACTAACAATATCAAATTAACAATATCAAAATTAAAATTTCAAACTAACAATTTCAAGCTAAAAATATCAAGCTAACAATATTAAACTAACAATATCAAACTAAAAATATCAAACTAACAATATCAAACTAACAATATCAAAATTACAATTTCAAACTAACAATATCAAGCTAAAAATATCAAGCTAACAATATTAAACTAACAATATTAAACTAAAAATATCAAATTAACAATATCAAACGAACAATATCAAACGAACAATATCAAACTAACAATTTCAAACTAACAATATCAAACTAACAATATCAAAGTAACAATATCCAACTAACAATTTCAAACTAACAATATCAAAGTAACAATTTCAAACTAACAATATCAAAGTGACAATATCAAACTAACAACATCAAACTAATAATATCAAAACTAACAATATCAAACTAACAATATCAAACTAACAATTTCAAACTAACAATATCAAACTAACAATATCAAACTAACAATTTCAAACTAACAATATGAGACTAACAATTTCAAGCTAGCAATATCAAGCTAACAAATAATTTCCATCTGTGTTACAAATATTTCAACTATCATATAACCGTGTTGTCTTCATTTCTACCCCCAACAGGTGGACATCTCAAAATATCCGTTTGACCGTAACATCTGCCCATTGATCATCAGTTCGTGGATGCATGACATGAACTCAGTCAATGTAATAAAAAAAAACAAACTGATATTTAAATGAAGATTGTATACATTCGAATGACGTAGAATTATATTTTTTACAGTAATTAAAAAAAAAAAACATATACAAAATCCTTATAAGATTGAGCTGTAGATTCAAGGATTTTTTTTTAGTGCATTCTATTCACCGGCAAGAGCCATAATTTAAACGTACACGGACTGTTGTAGCAGTAGAATATTGGGGGGGGGGGGGAAGGGGGGTTGACAATCAACCTTTTACCAAAAGAATGTTATAGCCAAACATACTAAATAAAAAACCGTTTAAATAAAAAATAATAATAATAACTTAAGGATCTCTTCGCGATAACCCTACCCCCAAGACATTATATGTTAGGTCCAAGTATGTTTGGTCCAAGTATGTTTGGTCCAAGTATATTTGGTCCAAGTTTGTTGGTCCAAGACTGTTTGGTTCATATATGTTTGGTCCAAGTATGTTTGGTCCAAGTATTTTTGGCCCTAGTATGTTTGGTCCAAGTATGTTTGGTCCAAGTGTGTTTGGTCCAAGTATGTATGGTCCAAGTATGTTTAGTCCAAGTATGTTTGGTACAAGTATGTTTGGTCCAAGTATGTTTGTTTGGTCCAAGAATGTTTTTTCAAGTATGTTTGGTCCAAGTATGTTTGGTCCAAGTATGTTAGGTCCAATTGTGTTTTGTCCAAATTTGTTTGGTCCATGTATGTTTGGTCCAAGTTTGTTTGGTCCAAGACTGTTTGGTTCATATATGTTTGGTCCAAGTATTTTTGGTTCAAGTACGCTTGGTCCAAGTATGTTTAGTCCAAGTATGTTTGGTCCAAGTGTGTGTGGTCCAAGTGTGTTTGTTTCAAGTATCTATGATTCAAGTATGTTTGGTCCAAGTATGTTTGATCCTAGTATGTTTGGTCCAAGCATGTTTGGTCCATGAATTTTTTATGAGTATGTTTGGTCCAAGTATGTTTTGTCCATGTATGTTTGGTATGAATATGTTTGGTCCATGTATATTTGGTATACGTATGTTTGGTCTAAGCATGCTGGTCCATGCATGTTTGATATAAATATGTTTGGTCCTAGCATCTTTGGTCCTAGTATGTTTCGTCCAAGCATGTTTGGCTCATATTTGTTTGGTCCAAATATGTTTGATACATGTATGTTTGGGCACCATGTCTCTATCTCAACTCTTAGTTATTATGTCATTCATTTTGACCTCATCATGACAGTTGACCTTTGGTGAGCCCGCCATCATCCTGGACTACATGATCTCTAACGGTGAGTTCCAGGTCAAATCACACGGTGTCGACACCAGCCTGTATCCAAGTTTCAACCTCCATTACATTCAATGCTCCTTCTATCTAAGGCTAAGTCGGCGCCCTGCGTATGTGATAATGACGTAAGTAGGTCTCATCTGATAGGCACTCTGTCACATATAATATTTTACCTGAAAAGTGTTTTCCAGCATTAGGTCAAGTTTAGCAGCACTCCTAATCAGTTAATGATACAGACTGAGCAATTAACGTACAACTTTTTTGTGACACCGTGGGCGACATTTCAATTTTCCTCACGTCACGAAAAAAAATTAATCAATTGGCTAAAAATCAAATACAGAGCACATAAAAATGAAAATAGAATATATAGCGCGTAATATTTCCCTAAATGACATGACGCTGTATGTGATCACCCAACTGATTCACTTACACCTTTCTATTCGTATGCTCATGCCAATAAGAGACTACTTACTATCTTAACTTGAATAAAGGATATTGTTACCTCGGCAATTGACCCGAGAGTCTAGTTCTCTGCCAGTCGTCACACGACTGTCAAATGATGGACCTTCTGTTTTTCTTATGGAATCCGTTGACAATGTGACGATGGTGTAGACTTCGCAGGATGAAATCCACAAGGCCCGGCATTATTGTTGGAAGTGTTATAATCTGGTTCCCTACACTGCGCATCGCCTCTCTCCACGCAGCTGGATACAGCAAAGGAACATTATGTGAATGATACAGCTTGGCACCAGTGGCGTCGCAGAAGTTGTCGGAATGTTTCATTGTGCCAATGTTATCCGCGTACGGGACTCCAGACCAGGAACTTGAAATTAACTCAGTTTAGACCACTCGGCCACCCAGCACCCTTTTAAATAGTAAAATATTATGGCATCCTTCCGTCTACGTGAGACGATGGAGTAGCTATATAGTTCTACACTTTGACGAGTGGCTCACTAGGCCAATCCTTGAATGGCAATCACAGCCACATCTCTCGCAGGAGAATGTTGAAACCCGGTCAATTCTTGATTTTCGAATTGTTCTTTTTGATTCTAGGGCTTCTTTTCGAGTAACTTCTGCCTTTTTCACTCCTCCAAACATTGCTGTACGCCAGTTGGAGCGATGTTCGGCAATGAACTCCCATTCGTTTGTTTCAATATTGGCTTTCAATATTTCAATATTCAATAGTAAAATAAAAATATAGCTTATATGGCTAACATAATTAAAAATAACACAAATAAATTGTCAGAATTGGGTTTTGAACCCACGCCCACGTTCATGGACCAGACCACACTCGCACCCACGCAGCTAGAAAGGAAACCTTGAGTCTGGCACCTTGGACCACTCGGCCATCCTGACTACACATTTCAAACGAACAATGGGAAACGTATTGATCGTCTTAATATTTCTATGTCTGTCAACGGTTTTCAGGTATGCTTTAAGCTAAATTAGTCCATACCATGTGAGCACTACCCATCTCCATTTATATAGTGTTGTTACCAAACAAGAGATGTGCCAAGAGTGTTTGAACTCGGGAGTGATATTTATTTTTACGCCAACCCCATTTTCGACTCTAAAATCCATTATTTTCATCCATAAAAAAGTAAGGGAACAGCCAATGCCGGAGTAGCCACTCTAATCCAATCATGATTAAATTACTGTAACAGTTGTTTGTGGGGTTTACCTCAAAACCAAATTCAGAGACTCCAGATGGTACAAAATACTACAGCAAGCATTGTATCGATTCTAAATAAATATGATCACATCACCCCAGTTCTTAGAGATATCCACTGGCTTTCTGTGAGTGAGCGCATAGACCACAAAATTCTGTCCCTGGCTTACAGCTGTATACAAGGCTCTGCACCTGAATATCTTCAAAAACTGATTTCTAAACATGTATCCATGCAGAACATGCGGTCTTCAACACAGTCCTTCCTTACCGAGGGTCCCCAGCGTGGATGGACACAGAAAGAAGTCATACTGAGTGCGCTCTTTTGAAGTTATAGCGCCTAAATTATGGAGAATAAATAAAACAGAGTAGGGTTAAACCTGAATAAAGAAACGCAACAAAACAACGAACGTGTCGGCAGAAAGCCTTAGTCAGCGAACAAAACAACAGAAAAAACGGTATAAAATGAAAATAAGAAATATCACTTAGCTTGGACGTGGGCAGTAAAAGCACATTTATTTTGCTGCCTACGGATACTACGTCCAGCAGTCTGCACCACACATGGACTTGGTTACTCGACTCTCCTTCTTCCTGATGATGACATAGTCGATGAGTTGCCAATGTTTTGAAAGAGGGTGCCTCCAGGACGTCTGATTACTAAACAGTAACAAGCAGTACCTAAAGTAAATCACGATAATTTTATTTTAAAAAATTACCCTCTCCCTCCCCCTGCCCACAATCTGTCACAAACCTCAGGCTACCCCTCCCCTAAAATACGTCACTCTTTCAAAATCCAAAGTTGTTCAAACATTAACAACTAATTAAAATGTCATTCAAGACACACGTCACTATTGAACTATTAAATGTGTAAAAGTTAAATCTTCTGTCAGAATACATCTATCACAACAAAAGTTTTCACATCACTGTCAATGTCATGTATTATAAAAAAATATTTAAAAAAAATAAAGATCTCTACCCCCACCAAAGCATGATGTCACACCTCTGCCCCCTACCCACCAAAGCATGATGTCACACCTCTGCCCCCTACCCACCAAAGCATGATGTCACACCTCTGCCCCCTACCCACCAAAGCATGATGTCACACCTCTGCCCCCTACCCACCAAAGCATGATGTCACACCTCTGCCCCCTACCCACCAAAGCATGATGTCACACCTCTGCCCCCTACCCGCCAAAGCATGATGTCACACCTCTGCCCCCTACCCACCAAAGCATGATGTCACACCTCTGCCCACTACCCAGCAAAGCATGGTGTCGCACCTCTGCCCCCTACCCACCAAAGCATGGTGTCGCACCTCTGCCCCCTACCTGTCACACTTTCTTAGACACCCCCCACCCAACTGGAATGTGCCGTGCTTTATGGACAGCCCCAAAATTGTTGAAAATATTAAATTGCTAAGCTGCTTCACAAGGAAGATACTCAAATAAGCTGAGGCAGTCCTCAAGGTAAACGTTTTATAGTAGGAGACCAACATGGAGTCCTTCCAACATGGAGTCCTTCCAACATGGAGTCCTTCCAACATGGAGTCCTTCCAATATGGAGTCCTTCCAATATGGAGTCCTTCCAACATGGAGCGTTAGACAAGACAGCGTTAAAACATGACGTCGCTACATAACAAATAATGTGGTGTGCATGCGTAATCAACATTCAGTTCTTTTGTCACTTTCCAACAATCAGCAACCACTGGGTATTTTTTTTAGCATGACGTCGTGAACATTTCCCCCATTCCCCAGGCTCCTCACGCCAGTTTCCCTTATGGCGGCGCTAGGGGGCGTGTCCTTCCTGATGCCCCCTGGCGAGCCAGAGAGGTTGACCATGTCCATCACGGTCGTGTTGTCCTTCACCGTTTTCCTGGGGATCATTGACGGCGGTCTTCCGGGGACTTCTGAAAACATCTCACTGTTGGGTAAGCCTTTTTTTTTTTTTGGTTTGGTTTACTTTGACGTCGGACGAAACTGTTCCAACCATGTCCATCACGGTCGTGTTGTCCTTCACCGTTTTCCTGGGGATCATTGACGGCGGTCTTCCGGGGACTTCTGAAAACATCTCACTGTTGGGTAAGCCTTTTTTTTTTTTTTGGTTTGGTTTACATTGACGTCGGACGAAACTGTTCCAATAAAATTGAAAATTTCTTGCACGGGATCCACGCATTGTGCTGTTAGCGGCTTGACGCTAACTACTACGATGGTCTCCTATAGGCTACTGCAAGATTCAGACCTCATTATCAAATGTTGGTAAATACAATTTTTTTTTTTTACACTTAACTGTGTTACATTGTTAAAACTTACTTTAAAAAATAATTTCCAATATTTACACGATGGCAAAAGCTTTCGATATTCAATGCTAAACCATGACTTGTGAAGCAAAATCCGAAACAGTCTACTTACTTTTTTTTTAATGCTGTTAGTAATTTTTGTTGAATGTGTTCTTGTTCTATTATAATACATGAAACAATTACATTCCAAGTGCCTTACATGGCTGCAATGTTTTTTTCCTGTTTGGTTTTTATGTTTTACACCCTCCCACTTTCTTTGCGTTCTTCTTATCTTTGGCTCCATACAAATAAAAATGTCCACGGTACATCTGAAAATCTCCTCGGAACAACTGACAATCTCCACGGAACAACTGACAATGTCCAAAGTACGACTGACAATCTCCACGGTGCATCTGACAATCTCCACGGAACAACTGACTATTTCCACCTTAAAACTTACAATGTCCAAGGTACAACTGACAATCTCCATGGTACCACTGACAATGTCCAAGGTACAACTGACAATCTCCACTGTACAACTGACAATCTCCATGGTACAACTGAAAAGTTCCACGATACATCTGAAAATCTCTACGAAACAACTGACAATGTCCACGGTACATCTGACAATGTCCACGGTACATCTGACAATCTCCACGGTACAACTGTCAATCTCCACGGAACAACGGACAATTTCCTTGATACAGCTGTCAATCTTCACGGTACAACTTACAGCCTCAACTGTACAGCTGACTATACATTGACGTTGGTACCCAACATGTAAAAGATGACATTGCATTGTTTAAAATTTACCCAAAAAGAGATCAAATAATGTTTATACCATTTCAGTTGTCTACGTTGTCGTACTTCTGCTGTTGGCGTTCTTTGTGGTTGTTTGCAACAGTGTCGTCTTCCTCGTCCACCGTCACGAGACTCGGCGAGCCCAGGAGCTCAGGCCCTTACCTTCAAACCGAGATGTAAGAGACCTTAATGAAAATTGTGATCCTACTCTAAAAGACCACGATCTCTCTGAAACTGTGTCAGCGATCGAGTTGTCAAGAAAACCGCGGGACGGCGATACATTTGGTGATCTCCCTTACACGATTAAAAACGAAAGCCAAAGGGAACTCTCGGACACAGAGTCTACAGGATCGACTACAAACGTCAAGTCTGTGGCTGATCAACTTAACAGATACTTCATTGTTTTAGTTTTAGTTTCATTCTTTCTCATGATTGCAGTGATGTTTCCTCTCATGTTGTCTTAAGCGAATTTAGGTCATTACAGTTTACGCCATTGGCGTATTAAAAAACTACCCGGTCGATCCGGGCCTTTGCCATTATATATATACAGTTTTGTTTTAACCTATTTAAGTGCAGGTACCGGGTATATTGGACGCTGGATTAAGGAAGGACACAAGAACAGACAGAAGCACAGACTAAAGGACATACAGAAGGACAGACAGAATGACAGACAGAGGAAAGACACAAGGACAGACAGAGGAAAGACAGAAAGGCAGCCAGAAGTGAAGACAGAAGGACAAACAGAAGTAAAGACAGAAGGATAGACAGAAGGACAGACAGGACAGCAGACAGAAGGACAAGCAGAAGTAAAGACAGAAGTAAAGACAGAGGACAGACAGAAGTAAAGACAGAGGACAGACAGAAGGACAGACAGAAGGACAGACAGAAGGACAGACAGAAGGACAGCAGACAGAAGGACAGACAGAAGTGAAGACGGAAGGACAGACAGAAAAATCACGAACGAAAATAAGATGCACAGCAAAAAATTTGCATTTACTGTTATTATTGGCGTTGTTCTAATTAAAATTTGTTTTTGTTTTATAAGTTGTTTAATGCACGTCCATCAAATAAGCTAATTATTTTTAATATTACAGTATCTTACATAATATTAATAAATAATAATAATAAAGTTTATTTGAAAATCACGCTTCACACCCAAAGGCTCGAAGCGCACTAAATCCTATCGATGGATTTACAGACTTTGAGATTGAAACAACGCCTTTGTCAGTGAACTTTGAAAGAGAATACACTCAGTGAGACAGGTAGGCCTACCCCTTCCTCGATCAAGACACTAGAAGAAATACGCATTACCTCGAGCCATGGCAATGCTCCAAGTGTAGACTCCATCCCAGCTGAAGTCTACAAAGAAGGGGCTGCAGTTCTGCAAGGCCACACCATCTGTTCCTAATAATGTGGCAACATCTCTTTTTTCACAAATGTAATACCCTAGGAGTTATATATATTGTCACCCACGTAAAAATGTACACATCTTATTTCCTACCTCCGACATATATTTACCAAAGAAAATTAATTATTTGTCAAATTCATTCCTTTATTTTAAGACTTATCTTGCTTTGCCTTGGGCGAAATGAACATACCAATATTTGTAAAAAGAGAATGTAATATCTCTTTTTTCACAAATGTAATCCCATAGGATTTAAATGTATTGTCAACCACGTAAAAATGTACACATCCTATTTCCTACCTCCGAAATGAAAGTACCCAAGAAGGTTAATTATTTATCAAATACTTTCCTTTATTTTGAGACGTATCTTGTGCTGCCTGGGGCAAAGTGACCAACCCCTCCCCCACCCGGATTTAAAAAAAATTAGAAAATCTTCAACCGGATTGTAGACCCTTCCATACCCAAACTAACATATTTTGTTTGAGGATGAGGTATAAGTGGATTGGTGAATGCTATTTGGCTATGGAGTTGCGCTGCACTGATTGACTTAAACGGCATTTTCTTATTAGAAGCACATTTAAAGGTTAAGTTTTTATTACGTTGTAAATTTAATAAAAGTATATTTTTGGAATTAAAAAAATAAAACTTATTGAGTGATAAAAATACAAAGCTAAAATTTTTACTTGTTTAATTAACAATTTAAAGAGCAATCAATTAAATTTACAAATTTTACTTTTAAGAAGGGGGAAATACATTATCAGTTTTGTGACGCGCGGTTCTTTAATCAAAGAAACTTGAGAGTTTTGGCTAACATTGGCGATTCGCTCTATAACGTCATTTGCGTGTTTATAAAGAATAAATTAATTTTAATTTTATTAAATATATTAACAACGCACTAACAAACGCACGATAAACAACTGATGTTTGGGTTTTACCTATAAATGTGATTACGATGTAATTCTTAGATCATAATTTTATTATGAATTTTTTTTTCATAACTTTTACATTCGAATAAACTGCTTAAAATAGTTCATTATTTGTTACTTTAAAAGTATTTGTAAATTAAAATAATAATACTTAAAATTTTACTAAAATAAAAGCGGATTTAAAATATTTTTGCGCATTTAAATTTATTCGATTTCCGTAAAATAATAGAAAATAATTGTGATTGTTTTTATGAATCCAAACGTATTTAAATCGTATCGGTTCTTTGGCGTTATGTCACTATAGCTTATTCTTATATATAAATATATATATAACACCGGATCATTGTGTATCTGTTTATTTTTGGACACTTTCATATTGAAAATGGTCTAAGAATAAAGTTATTAAACTCTTTAAAAAAAAAAATAAATAATAGGTAACAAGGGATAAAACCACTGATTTAAGGAACTACCGAATGAACAAGACCAAAGCTGGTAATTTCACTAATAAACGATTTATTAAGGCTATAATTTTCAACTACAAGACACAAAATTAACTTTGCCAAGTTTGAGCTCTGTTACATCAAATATTTTAACGCTATAAAATGATAAGAGAGGTGTTCCCCTTCATGATCACATACAATAAGCACACCTCATCCATCGTTTAGGTCTACGGGGACTGGGTCGGGTTATTAGAGACACTGGGCTCAGGGCTGACACAGAAACACCCAACTACATGCCATGGGGTCGACACAGACACACCCAACTACTGGGCACAGGGTCGACACAGACACACCAAACTACTGGGCACAGGGTTGACACAGACACACCCAAATACTGGGCGCAGGATCAACACAGACGCACCCAACTACTGGACACAGGATCGACACAGAGACACCCAATTACGGGACACAGGTTCAACAGAACTAGCTCCTGAAAAGCTATTACGTTGTCTGGGATTTAATCCGATACAAAATCCCATATGTAGCGATCCAAGCATATATTCCAGTACACAAAGTGACATATAGCGATTCAAGCATATACTTTATTGATACAAAAATGAAAATCCAACTCCAACTACTCCCGTCTTGTTAACGTCTCCATTAAACCAGCTCTCTACTCACTTCTACCACAACATGGAAGGATTTCACCGATAATACACCTCCATTTAAAACAATGACATCAAAACACAATCACTAAAGAAAACCAAGTATGCTAAATAAGTTTTAAAAATAACAACGCTAATAAAACTACTTGCAAGACCGGAAAAGCTGTCGCGCATCTAGGACAAAAGGATTTTGGGGTCCAGGTGGTATTGGAGGCAGTTCTACTTTTCGATTCCTGAGCGTTTTCTTTGGGCGTTAGGGGTATGAGAACACTCGCTTTTAAAAAAAAAAATTATTCGTACATTACAAGAAGGGACAGGATGACAAAAATACCGACAAATGCGACGATGGTAAGACACATAAAACATGCATTTAATTTGTGAGCCAACGAGTTGGCAGAGTTCTCTTGGTCCTCA